TCCTCTCCTCTCTCTTTCTCCCTCTCTCCTCCTCTTCCCCTCTGTTCTCCTGTGTTCAACGAAGTTCAACGAAGAAGAAGAAGAAAATCGCAAAACGACGTGGTTTTCAAATTTCGGGCCATTCGACCCTCACCCATTTCGAGCTACCACCTATTTTTCAAACTATATATATCAAAGAGAAGTATAAAATAAATCACCTCTGCTACATAGCTCGAAAATGGACTAGCTCGAATGGCTCGAAGTGCCAAAAAGATGTCATTTTAGCATTTTCTTTTTTCTTTTTTCTTTTTTCTCAGTGAAACAGAAAGGCAGGAGGAAGAGAGAAGAGGGACCGAGAGAGAGAGAGTAGGATGATGGTGAACAATACAATACAGAACAAAAACAACACACACACACAGAGGAGAAGAAGAGATGGGAGAACAAAACAAAAAAAAGAGATGGAAGAAGAAAAGATAGAAGAACACCACACAGAAAAGATGGGAGAACACCATATTAAACAACACGCGCACACACACACATACAACATTAAGAAAACAAACACACAAATTTTTTTTACTCAGCTTTTTTTCCCCCAAAAAACAGAAAGAAAGAAAGAAAGAAAAAAAGTTCTTGAATACTTGAATAGTCTTTCTCCCAAAAAAAAAAAGAAACAAATTTTAGTTTTTGAATAGAGTGCAGATGATGAATTGTGGAACTTACATAGCAGTTTGTTATAAATTTAAAATATAAAATAAAAAAAAATTAAAAAAAAGAGAGCGAAGACAGTGAAACGTGGAACTGCACAGCAGTTTCTAAAATGTGGGAAGTGGAAAAGTGGAAGTTATTTACTGAGTTAGTAATTTACGATTTTAACCATCATTACAATTTGATATAAGTTTTAAAATAATAGATTATTTAACAAGTTATGGTCAGTTTAGGGAAAATAGAAAAAAAATTTGTAAGCCAGGCTTCAAATTCATGACACCAAAATTGGTGTTCCCCTTTAATAATAGAATAGATTAACCCTCCAACTGGACCCAAATTCTGTAATAATAAATAGTTTTTGCAGCACCCAAATTCTGTAATTTGCCAACCCCACATTCCCTTATTCCCATCATCACTGTGGCCCTTTTCACTTGAAGAATCCCAACTCTGTCTACTGGACCCTCAGCCATTTGCCTTTGACGTTGTGTAGTTCCCCAAAATCTGATGTTTGTCAACAACCCACTCGTTGCCACCATTGGACTGCCTATTTTTATTACAACTCCAGATATTAGTGGGTGACTCATTCTCATGCTTGATAAAGAGATTGTATTTCAACTTTACTCCTCGTAGTATTGGAAGAACCCCATGCCGCAGAAGTTTTTGACTGAGGTACATGCTCAACATCTTCTTACTTGACTGTGGGTGACTCATTTTCATGCCTGATAAAGAGATTGTATTTCAACTTCACTCCCCTCAGTATTCGAAGAACCCCAAGCAACATAAGTTTTTGATTGAGGTACATGTTCTACATATAGGTACTTCACTATGAGTGTGTTTCACAGTATTGTCTGCGACTGAGAAAATAATTTCGATTTTATCTCATGTAACTTAGCTCATGGGCATTTCAAGGCACTTGAGGGTATTATGGGCATTTCAGTATTTTTTTTTGATGACATCAGCAGCTTCGGTTAGTTGGGTGGACAACAGTACAAAAATGAGAGAATCTTCATATTGTTAGTTAAAGTAGGGCAGACTTCTGTAATTATTAAAATTACAGGAGAGATTTCTGTATTTGTCAAAAATCTCTAGGGAGGTAAGTGTAATTTACCGAATACAAAAACAAGCAGAAAATGCAAAGAGGAGAAAAAGGAATGACTGTGAAGTTTCGTAAAGTGAAATTAAGATAAAATATAAGCTGTAGTGCCAATCTTCTATACATATCAGGTGGCCATTTTATTATTTTGGGATGTTTTGTTTTGAACATTGTTTTGGTGAAAAAATCAACGATAGTTTTGTAGGTCGAAGTGAGTTGGAAGGTTGTGTATTTACTTGCACTCTATTTCATAGTTGTTTATGAACAATATTGCTTTAAAACAAAGAAAATTAAAGCCTCTGTTTCATTTTATGATTTAATTTATTATTTTTTGCAAACATCAATTTGTACTGAAATTGTCAATTAGAAGTGACCACTTACTGTATTACAAAAGCAAGCATCAAAAAACAGTTTACTGTGGCGATGTGACAACTCACTGCATTACTGATTAATTTGACAACTCACTGCTCCAATATGAAGGGATTGCATTGTGAAAAAGAAGACCTACAATTATGATTTTATCTAACAACCACGTCCGTGACTGCATCACAGGTACACAAAGTCACGGGTACTTAGGATTGCATGAACTAAATAAGATAAAATAATATCACGGGTATCACTTCTTCCACAGTGCCCCAACATCTCAATTATCGTCACCAGATCATCTCTTTTGCATGTATATAAATAGCGCTAGCCCTAGTATGATGTATTCAAGAGGTGTAGGAAGTTCACGGGTCTCTTTTTCATCTTAATTTTTTTTTTAATTTTACGAACTATGTCTTCAAGAGGTGTAGGAAGTTCACGCTGTCAAAGAAATTCAAAAGTGTGGCTACTACCTCCATTTACTTATGACTATAAGAGCGAAAAGTACTCGAGTCCGAAGGATTATTATGCTGGTATCCGAGCAGAATGGGCATTCAAGGTAACAGAGCAAGAAGGATTGTTTAATGATCTACGTAACTTTGGACCACTGGTACCTCATCGTCGTTCATTGACCATGGCTAGACGAAATGTGAGTGACTATGAAAAAGTAGTTAGTAGAATTAAGAAGGAGAACAACAGAATGTTGATGCGGAGATGTCGATATTTCATGCTTCAGCTAGCCACCGAAATGGCAGAAGCAAGTAACAGAGAATTGACAGTGACTGAGTGAAATAATGTCTTAAACAATGAAAAATATCTCTCTGACTACTACATGTCAGATGAGGAATGAGAAATCAAACACCTTTATCTTTCATATATGTTTGTATGTTGTGTCGTATCTTCGTTACTGGAGTGTAGGACAACGTTATGGTTCATCTAGCTTACGGATGTATTTCAACTATTTGTTATATGAACCTGAAGTTTATGAAATCACTACATTTATAAGTACAAGATTCGTTACGAATTTCTCTTCCTATTGATAACTCATGTATAAGCATTGCAAAGCCATTACAATGAATGAAAACATTTGGTCATACATGCAACCAAGTTCATTCAGTATTATCATTATATTCCACATCAATAATGCATGAAATCATGAAAGCCTAGTTCAATTAGCGTTCTTCAAAATAACCGTAACGGAGAGAAATCAAAGGTATTTGTTATTTGTAGAATTACAAGAACTATTCAAAAACTATTGAAATTTCTCCCTTCATTGATAAGTCGTGGATAAGTATTACAAATCCATTACAAGATAAATGGTTTGGTCATTCATCCAAACAATTTTATTCATTATCATCATCATCTGACATCTCAATATCAAATTCATACATAGCATCCATGCTTCAGGTGAAGTACACGCATCATCCATTAACCAATCTTTGGCACGCTCATTTGCTGTCACACCCCAAATGCGCCCCTAGAAGTTTGGGCATGACCACTTCAGAAACGGACACTTAACCTGTTATATATAACATATGGGGCCTGAACGGAAGCATTAAATATCAAAATTTGACAATAGAAACAAACTCCATTGAGCTACTACTATCATGCCAGGATCACAAACTTTAAACAGACAAATAAAATCTAAAACATACACTTGAATATCGGATATATACGCACATATATACAAGCCCAGCTCTATAATTGGGCATACATCAAAAACATTTCGGAAGAAAGTATTATACACATTTCAACCTTAGGCCAATAAGTAAAGCGTAGCGCCAAAAGTTTGTCAAGACTTCACAAAAATATGAGTGGCTTCATCTAGAGTCTGGGCACTCAAAGGTTGACAAAATGAACGAGCATCATGGCTCAGGATTAACCACTTGGTTGTTTACCTACAGAAACAGACATAACATAAAGTGAGGCAAACTCAGTGGGTAATAGTACTTAAATGCTCGATTTTCACATAACATCTAGCAACGCATACTTAAATACAAAGATCACGCAGTTAATCTGTTCCTGTTTTCATTTCAAAATGGCCTTAGGCCTAATCGTGAGACATAGTGGCTTAAAACCCTTGAACACATTAACATTAAACTTTTAAACATGATGGCATATAGCCCTTGAACATATGGCATGGAGCCCTTAAACATGGTGGCATATAGCCCTTGTACATATGGCATGAAGCCTTTGTCAGAATGGCATAAAGCCCTTATCAGAATGGCATTACAGCCCTTGAATATATAGATATATGAACTCAAGAGGTGTCTCACACGGATTCTAGAGGTGACTCACATTGTAGCACTTAGTTCCGTGTAGCACTTTGTTTCATATTAGAATGGCATAAGCCCTTATCAGATTGGCATTACAACCCTTATCAAAATGGCATTAAGCCCTTAAAACATATTGGCATTAAAGCCCTTGAAACATATCGGCATTAAAGCCCTTGAAACATATATATATATATATGAACCCAAGAGGTGTCTCACAACGGATTCTGAGGTAACTCACATCGTAGCACTTAGCTCCGTGTAGCACTTTGTTTCATAACAGAATGGCATAAGCCCTTATCAGATTGGCATTACAGCCCTTAAAACATATTGGCATTAAAGCCCTTAAAACATATATATATCTATATGAACCCAAGAGGTGTCTCACACGGATTCTAGAGGTGACTCAGCAAACCATACATGTAATGTTTATAAATGGAAATAAATTCATACATATGCATTATGCTTGAATCATTAACAGAAATCAGAATTCATACTTACTTATACTTAGGCTTTTTAATAGCGCTGGCAAATCAATAAAAAGCATTCTTGTTAGTTCCATAAAGAAATTCCTCAACATTGTGAACTTATAGTACACTTGAACTTGTACATATGTAAGCATGTAACGTAGCTTGTAACATACTTAAGCTTGTATCGTACTTAAACTTGTAACATACTTGAACTTATAACACGCGTATACTTGTATATACTTGTACTTGTAACCTTACTTAAACTTGTACATATTTGAACTTGTCACATATATAAACTTGTAACATTCTTGAGTTTGTAACATTCTTGACTTATAGCATACGTAAACTTATAACAGACTTAAACTTAGAACATACGTAAACTTGTAACTTAATTATTTGAACCACGGTATTATTACCCCTGGGTAAGGGCCTTGTGCTAAAGATGATGTGAATACTTCTACATATATGAATAATCATTCATTAAGTTAATAGAAAACAGAGCATTTCTTGTTATATCATATCATTATCATGCGCTTAACAAAATAGAATAATTCATATTCTTATGTGGGTTGCATACTGATGGTAAACCTTTACATTCATATCATAGATTCTAAACGATCTTGGGTTCCTTCGTAACATAATCTTAGATTCACACAAATATCATTCTTCAAGGATGAACATAGGTTCCACTTATTCTTTAAGAAATAACATAGCATGCTGATAAATAACAAGTGGCTAATATTCGTCATTAACAGAACATAAGGATTCCAAAATCATACCAACGTACGCGAAGCTTTCAGCGTTCATATAAGTTCACATTGCTTTCCAATTGTCATAAATGTTCGTATAACACTTACAAGGAACAGAGCATTAGTGACAATAATTGTCAACAGTAGATAAAATGTACATTTTTGTACTACTACTCACAGTGATCAGCTCCCGGTAGTAATAGGACGATGTCCTCGTCTCGACCTACAAGTATAGCGCACAACACATAATATGAGATTATACTTGATCATTTACTTATTCTCTTTGATCATTCAATCAATTATCCATGGTGGTACCATGCTCATTATTCCTTAATAAGTTATACTCCATGTCACAGAAACAAGAGAAATCAATGGAAAATGGTTTAGGTGAAGAAATGGTATAAAATTAGTTGACAGAAAATGAATAGTTGTCACTAATTTGGGCATAACTATTTTTATATTTCGAATTTGGGAGTGAGACCACTTCCACTGGAAACTAGACTTCTGGGGCTTGATTTTAGGCTGAAGAATCACTCAAAACGGAGTCCCGAGGCAAAAGATATGCTTATTCAAAGATGGTTGGACAAAGCTGTCTCCCGCACGTGCGGGAAACACGGCCGCACGTGCGGCTCTGGGCAGTGTGCAGTCCGAAAATGGCTCTTTTTGCTCCAACACTTGGTTTTTTCCATTTTTAAGCTTGGTTCTTAACATAAATCACTCAAAAACATGTAGAATTGCCCTATAACATGATAAACTAACATCAACCAAGTGTAATTTCATTTCAAACAATTCAATCTTTGTCTCAAAGTTCAAGATTAATGCTTAATCTTTCATGATCATCAAGGTTCTTAAAAACACAACCCACAACCCACAAATTCACATGATTCTTGCATAATCTAAAGTTTATTTCATGATATCCATGAGCTTGAGCTCCACTCATAAACAAAATTAAAGAACTCAATTTCTAATTCCTCATATTAGCTCAAGTAAATACATAGATAAACCTTAACCCCAAATGGGTTTAAATCTTCCAAGATCTCTATGATTTTAGCAAATTGATACTTTAAACACAAGATTTCAAGATAGATTTTTATACCTAACTCAATCTTTGTCTATCTCTTAGCTCTCTTCAATTCCTCCAAGTCCCATGGGTGATCTTCTTTCTTTCCTTCAATTCTCTTCCATCATCTTCAAAGCCTCCATGGATGTTGAGAAAATTGACACTCTTCCCTCTCTCCCTTTCACGGTTTCCTCTCTCTCTCTTTAGATATTTTGTTTTTTGACTCCAAAAGTATGAGTTCACCACTTATATAACTCATACACACCTATATATTAATTATACAAGCTTTATCACAAATAAGGAGGGCCAAACACGCCCTTACGAATCACGAAAAATTAAATTTCAATTAAACTTTCCAAATGACTAAAAATTGTGCTAATCATAAATATGTCCCATGTTCTGGTTTCTGAAGCCTTCAGACAAATTAGATTTCCAATTAAGTTTCCCAAATAGTTCTAAAAATTTTCATTAACACATCCAAGTCCTCAATTGTGATTTCTGAACCCGTAAAGGTCGGTAATTTCAATTCTAAAGCCATGGCTAAACAGTTGATTCCTCAATTTGAACACATATCATTAAATTAAAATGCATTAACCCATAAGGCCGTAAAGGTAATCTCTAATACGGATTTTGGGGTCGTTACATCCTCCCCACCTTAAAAAGTTTGGTCCTCCAAACTTGATTCACCCTGCCACAAGTCCAGTTTCGTCTTGGGTACACAACATTTCTCAATTATTTAACAATTCACAATCCTATATAGTCAATTTCAATGGAGTTTGCTCCAAGAGTCACAAGTAATTCATCTTTACTAGCTAATTGGTAACCCAATTAATAAAAATACTCAATGTCATCAAAACATCATCTCATTATTCATGAATCTTGTACATTTCAATTTATTACTCACAGAAATGAATTCATTCGAGTATTTGATTGCATGCGACTCATAAGCTATCAAACATCATTCAAATTCTTTAGGTTCACAACAACCCCCATTATCATAATTCCTCAAGGGTTAAGGAAGCGTTCATTACTCAATCGGGTTCCCGATGGTACAAACATACTACAACAATTTGGCCTAGAATAAATAAATGAGTTCTACATTAACGACTTTATAACCCTTGCTCACTGATAAATTAAATATTCAAAACCATGGTTTCAGTACTTTGAAGTATCCTCAAGCGCTTTACTTCCATAACAGATAGGATAAGTGAGGTCTAAATTTTGAATATTCAAAGTCAGGCTCAAATCCTCAACTTCAATGAAGGCTCAAATAATCAGAATTAACTTATCACTTCAAATCAGATTCCTAACCATAATCATAAGGTGGAACATCTTCTTGTGACAGCACAAATTAATTTGGCCTCTTTTTAATCGTTTCAATATCCCACTATTCAGATGGTTTTTTCTTTTCCTACTATGAGACACGAGATCAACCACATGGTTTCACATTCACAACTTATAATTACCTTGGGTCAGCAATAGCCTGTAATCACGTTCATCCAGATTCCATAATGTTTAGGAATTCAATAATATAGCAATAAAATGATTTGACCATTAATATCAGAGTTCGGATTCTTAGCAAGGTCAGTTCAATATGACAGTACGTCAATTCGTAATCATATCATGAGTGGGGTACATATCGGTACCATCAATATAGAATATCTCCATGTCCTTTCTTTTGAACAAAGTTTACCTTATCATACGGAACAGTTCATATTATAGCTCCCAATACAAAATAGAGGACCAACGTGGAAATTTGTAATATCGAACATTTGCATATTTACATAAAAATATTTCACAAAAATGGTTTCTCAATCTTAAGTCATTGATATACAGAAATAGGATTTTAACTGCCTCTTCTTTACAAGTCTCATGTAGGCGAATACATAATGTGGGTAAAGTTCTTCATGTCGTTCAATCATTCTTTCTACAAAATCCTGATTACGGATTACAAATTTCTCATAACAAAACAGGTTATATTGAATTAACCTTTTACACAATTCAAAGGGGAAGCACTGATACATAACCTTCTCTTACAGCCGGTTACACTTAATATAATTCAACTATCATGTAAAACACAACTTATCAAAATACCTAACACAATAGCTTTTCAAAATCATGGGTCCAAACATTACTACGGCACGGAAGACATAATTATATCATAAAAGTTAAAGTATCGCATATATCATTTTCTTTGGTCTTAGAAATAGTCCACGCTTAGAGTTTAATCGATTCACCAATGCACTTAGAAAGATGCTAAAAAACCTACTTATATCGTCATCATTTCTCACAGATGACTAACAATCGACAACATACATTTCATTTAACCTTTACATATAAATCGTCTTACCGACCAGTTCGAACCCTCACCACGCTTCCGTTGCGCTACTTTATCGATTTAATCCCATCTGCAGGTCTTACCATGTTCTGCATAGCAATCAATCACAATATATAAAAAAAATGTAACAGGCATGAATAATAACCATTGCGGTCAATGTCATTACGGATACCATTAACGTTGCTATCAATTCTTTTTATATGCACTAAGGATGCCATGCATGATGCCTAAGTCTTTTCTAGACAATCTAAAGCTCAATGGATCCGTGTGTGGGATAGCAACTCGTGCTCTGATACCACTTGTCACACCCCAAACCCGACCCTAGAAGTTTGGGCATGACCACTTCAGAAACGGACACTTAACCTGTTATATATAACATATGGGGCCTGAACGGAAGCATTAAATATCAAAATTTGACAATAGAAACAAACTCCATTGAGCTACTACTATCATGCCAGGATCACAAACTTTAAACAGACAAATAAAATCTAAAACATACACCTGAATATCGGATATATACGCACATATATACAAGCCCAGCTCTATAATTGGGCATACATCAAAAACATTTCGGAAGAAAGTATTATACACATTTCAACCTTAGGCCAATAAGTAAAGCGTAGCGCCAAAAGTTTGTCAAGACTTCACAAAAATATGAGTGGCTTCATCTAGAGTCTGGGTACTCAAAGGTTGACAAAATGAACGAGCATCATGGCTCAGGATTAACCACTTGGTTGTTTACCTACAGAAACAGACATAACATAAAGTGAGGCAAACTCAGTGGGTAATAGTACTTAAATGCTCGATTTTCACATAACATCTAGCAACGCATACTTAAATACAAAGATCACGCGGTTCATCTGTTCCTGTTTTCATTTCAAAATGGCCTTAGGCCCAATCGTGAGTCATAGTGGCTTAAAACCCTTGAACACATTAACATTAAACTTTTAAACATGATGGCATATAGCCCTTGAACATATGGCATGGAGCCCTTAAACATGGTGGCATATAGCCCTTGTACATATGGCATGAAGCCCTTGTCAGAATGGCATAAAGCCCTTATCAGAATGGCATTACAGCCCTTGAATATATAGATATATGAACTCAAGAGGTGTCTCACACAGATTCTAGAGGTGACTCACATCGTAGCACTTAGTTCCAAGCAGCACTTTGTTCCATACCAATAAATAGCAGGTCTTACAGACCAAACCATACATAAATGTCATACCATAAACGGAAATAAATTCATACATATGCATTATGCTTGAATCATTAACAGAAATCAGAATTCATACTTACTTATACTTAGCCTTTTAATAGCGCTGGCAAATCAATAAAAAGCATTCTTGTTAGTTCCATAAAGAAATTCCTCAACATTGTGAACTTATAGTACACCTGAACTTG